AGAGAGAGAGATTTAAAAAGAAAAAAATAAAATAAACGAAAGAGCCTTTTTTCTCGGCCGACCGTGGACGGCGAGAAAGATTGATTATATGCTAAAGAGTAAGCGATGCGCAATTTAACTATAATGAATTGATGTAAGCGAATGGAAAAAAAATCAATACTTTTCATTGAGATGATATCTGGATTTCAATAAACTTGATACCTCGAAACCAGCCGGACAATTTACCCGGAGAACGAGCGGTGTTACCGGTATCGCGGCGGCGAGAAAACCCTGGTGGAAAAATGTCTCGGAATTTTTCATATTATTAATTAGGATTTTTATAAAATCTTTTTCAGGCTTTCTCAGAATGCTCGGAATAATATATTTCAGATTTTTCCCGTCAACATATTTTTGTAATTATCTGAATAAATATAAGAAAATCTGTGGAATTTTTATCAGACATTTTCATACATGCAGATACTGAAAATCCTCATTCAATTATTTCTGAAAGTATCTGAGAAATTATATATACTTATATATTTGTAGAATTCTTTATAAGTCTCAATTCTTAAAAAATTTCTGAGGAAGTGTGAATTTTCTCACCAGGGAACCTCCTCGCCACCGGCGCTTACCGGCGACGCTCTTCTCTTTGGGGCTTCTCATTTCACTTCTTCTCACCGATTTTCTTCCACTATTAACCAGCTTCGCTGATTATTTTCGGGGAACGCGTTCACTCCGTTTTATACAATTTTTACGGATCGCGGCGACCGATCCCGAGACCATCGCCGATCTCGTTCTTCTAGATCAAGAGCATCCGAGACGATCCGAGAGCACGGACTTGTTATGTAAATCATTGTACAAGTAAGTATTATACTGTAACTGTGCTCGAAGTGCGAACCAAGTCCCGAGTGTGCATTGATGTTGAAAGACCCCGGCGTTTCGCGCAACCTCGAGGCAGCGAAGAGATTTGTGGAGGAACCGGTCTTAAACTGATAGACACATAAAAATAAAGGAAAAATGGTATCTTGAAAGATATATGTGTGTATGAGAGAGAAAACGAGAGCGAGAACAAATAATAGTCACGAGACACCTATCAGCTGATGTAGTTTAGATGTAGATATGTGTGTGTATGCGTAAGGATATATATTTTTCTTTTTCTTTTTATTCACAAGACGTGGGTGATTGCCGCTTTGCAAGACGGAGATGAGAGACATGGATTGACTATACGTGACTATTAGTGCATAAAATGGATTATCGATTGATATCATGGGTAATAGGAAAAGAGTACTGTAGGAACGTTTCTACTATCGGGTACGACTGCGTCAAGAAAAGAGAATGTTATCGCGCGGAAATAGAAACTTGATGTTGCGGCGAGTTGACCGGATGAATAAGGAACTTGTGGACATAGTAAGTAAAGATACACGAAACGAGAAGAGGTTCGAAAATCTGAGTTCAAAATCAAGACCGGAAGAGAGACACGACCAGCGAGGCTTGGCCTGAAAATTAGACACGACCTCGGAAAGAGACATCGATTATGAAAGCTGCGTCTGAGTCTTGCCCCCCTGAGAACGTCCTCAGAGCGTGTTATTCGGAGAGTACCTCAACAGTTGCGATTGACTGCAAGGAAAATCCGAGACACACGATATAGATCTCAACTCGACTATTCTAATTTTCCCGTTTGCACGAAGTAAGATTAAATCCAATAATTTCTGGAAAATGTCACGAGTCGGATGAGTGATAGAAACAGATTATCGAAATCGTAATCGACAGATAATCTGATGCTGTAAAATATGTACATATATATTGTATATATATATATATAGAGAGAGAGAGGGAGAGAAAGAGAGAGGGAGAGAGAGAGAGAGCGGTTGCGTAATAATAACCATCATCCAAGTGACATCTTCACCGACTATTCGAAACGGTTATTTGACCCATCATTCTTCGTATGTTTCTTCCAGAATCCGATAACGAAAGCGCACCGTCGCCGGTAAAATCGCAGCCCAAGGTACCGTATTGCAAGACCTACGAGCAGATGAGACTTGAAGAGATCCAGGCGGAGAGCGCGGCTTATTACTCGTATGAAGCCGGTAACGACGATGGACTTTATCAGAGACAAATGGGCAAATCCAAGACGGCTGGATCTACTAGGTGGATCAGCCCATCGAGAGTCAAGAAAGACGAACCGGCAAAGGAATTGAGCTTCAAGGTGTTGAGCCTGGAAGAGATTCGACAACGAAAGAAGGAGAAGGAGCTTCAAGCCGTTCAAGCACTGACGGATCCAACGTCCGTCTCGGAGCCTTCTCTATCGCCGAAGGCTGAGGCGAAGGGGATAAAAAGGCGCTCGATCGATGAGCAATGCGATAAAGAGAGCGTCAGTCCGACGAAGAAGTGCAAGGTCAGCTCCGAGTTCGTTGGGGGTAGCGAACCCGTTGTCAAGGTGCGACCGGTGAAACTGCGAAGGTCCCTGAAGAGCGCTTCGAAGGAAACCGAAATGCAACCATGTGGAGACGCGACCGTGAACGAAGATGGGGCGACGGACAGTCGGGACGACCAGACCTTTTGTCGTAAGATGCGAGAAAGCCCCGGCGATGAGACGTCCTGCCGCGAGAGGCTAGAGAGCCATGCCGACGAGTCGGTTAACGCGAACAGGAGGGTCGATGTGGAGATCAGGCTGTGCGACAGCAGCACGAACGAAGAGAAAACTCAGACGCAACCGGAACAAACGGTGGAAGACAGGAAGTCGGTTGCCACGTACACGACAGATGATATCATGAACACCGCTTTATTGGACGTCACTCAGCCATATACGCAAACCGACGAGGAGTACCTGAGGCTGGATACATCGTCCGACGATATTATGCGGGATATCGAGGATTTGCTCAAGTAGAAAAGCATTTCTTTGTCTATCGCTTTCGTATTCTTCTTTTTAATCTCAATCACAGAGCACGTGAAAGATTGCAATCATGAGTAAAGAAAATAAGTAATGAATTATGATATTTTACGTTTATACACGTATAACTAAAATAAAATTTAGTGATTGATACGGAGTGATACGGCTTCTGTTGTGCGTTTCGAATAAGATGATATGCATAAATGCATAAGAGATTTTTAAAAATACGTCTATACATAACAATAAAATAGCAGCACGAACTCCTCTCAATATTTACACTTGACATCATGTATACGCTTTCGCGTATGAGAATTTTAGCCGGATCGAACACGTATCTATTGTACATATATGTATATATAATTTTTTTTCGTTCCGAAAACATTTCTTTTTCGTATTAAATTACAATAATTATAATAATATTGTACAAGGTGCGTGCGAAATCGTAGTACAAGCGAGAACAAGGTGATTTCTCGTGCTAAAATAACTCGAAATTGTAGAACAATTTTTTTTCTCGTACACGAGGCTTTATTTTCGAAATAAACCATTTTAAAAATCTATCAAGTACACGTGCACGTGACTATGTCTCGACTAACGGATCTTGCTATAGACTATTTCTGTTTGTGTTTATGTTGTGGATATCGGCAATGTTGTTATTTGTTTCCTGTCACTCCTATTATCTTGCTTAACTATGAGTTTCTGTCAAGTTTTCGCAACGGCGAGGTACAGCAATCGAAAATATACTGATATGATATATGATTCTTGCTTTAAGAGCCTGTGGCGGTAACGCATCCGCTGTAGCTTGCTACTATAGACAACATTATTCAAATTGTCGACATCTGATAGATGAGTGATATAAAGAGTGGAGAAAATGCTCGCTGAAAATGGCTCGTTTATTTCACTCCAAACTTATAAGCAGAAAATAGTCAAGTTTGCTTAATAGATTTTCAAAATTGTTTATTTCGAAGCTTTGTACGAAATAAATTATTCTACAATTTCGACTTAGTTTGGCATGAGAAATCACCTTGTTCTCGCTTGTATTACGATTTCGCACGTACCCTGTATAATGTATAATATAAATAATATTATATATATATTATATACATATACATATTACATATATTATATTATATATAATAATATTATAATTATTGCAATTTGATATTATATAAAATATATAAGTTATAATAATTATAACTTATATGATCATAATCTGAAACTTATATAATTACGATATTGTTATATAATAATTATGTAAATGATATATAACAATATATTGTTACATAGAATTATATAATGATATTACATGTGTACTGTTGCAATTTATAATATTAATATTATTCGCTGGCTCAACCCTCGGATTACTCCTGCTACTTAATAGTCTTCTGATATCTTAGTCTTAAAGGCATAATTCTGTAGATGGGCACAGAGAAATAATTAAATGTGCGTAATTTTGTATAGTCCATATGTTAGTTGCTTTTATTAACTTATTTACAATTCTGTCGTCTAGCATTGATTCGAACTTATCCATGAGTGTTCTTTCAGAAGAAATCCAGGGTTAAACGCGCCGGCAGATCGCAATGGATGATTTTAGTGAGGATTTAGAGAATACAACATGTCTTCGAGTGTAAATTAATTATTAAGTTGAAATAAATATACAATTGTTACATTTGCAAGGTAAAACGATGGTCTCTTTCCTTTTGCATCCCGCTTTCCATTATTCCCTACGAGTGATTCGATTTGGACGACAATGCGGGAGGGGTAAGTACAAATATGAGTTATCGGATCGAGAGAGAGATAGAGAGAGAAAGAGATGAACACGTTCGGGAAGGAGCTGCGCTTGATTTCTAATAGGAAACCGCACACGATCGCTATACTTGGTTGCCTGACAAATCGGCATTAGAACACAAGTAGCTAGTTCGCTTTCCATAATCAAGATTTGATATTTATATCTGGTGAGCGATCGCTATGCGAAATCTCGCGTAAATAAACTAGCTCTCCAATTAGAAAACAAGCATTGAGAGAACTCTCGATTAAATGCACACACTATTTATTTAGAACGCATACGTTTAACATTCTTGGCCTAAGAGAAATCACAATTGGCATGTTCGGTCCTTCTTTCTTTCTTTCTTTTTTCTCGAACCTCGCACCGAATATAAATTACAAATTGGTTTTATCAAGTTATTTAGAGAATTAGAGTCAATTATATATATATCTTTATATATACATATATATATTATATATAATTTTATATATATATATA